TAACATTAACTAAATATTTCATGCTCATGAGACCAACATTTTCTGTGTAAAAACCTTAAACTTTTAGTTAAGTTCGAGCATACCTCACAAGACCATTGCGGGATTTTCTGCCAAGCCACGTCCCTGAATTTCTATGCCATAAATAAAGCCAAGTGTTGAGGAATAAGTTAAAGATCCGATTGAGGTGATATACGAGTACCTGGAGTCTAAAAACGTCACTTTAGGTCCAATTTAACTACAAACATGTTCTGCGTGCTCCGTCGCCATATTTATTTCTTTTAGTGCCCAGTCTCAATCAGCGCGCGGCTTTTTGCGCGCGAGCTTTCAGAGCTCTCGTTTCGCGTTTCTCGGGTACTCGATTGAAAACGCGATCGACTTTTTCATGAAATATCAAGGTTTATGGGTGAGAAAAAAGTAAATTTTATTCCAAACAAATAAGTGATGAAACCAGCCTATTGACGAACCAGAAAGCAACCTCGTTCCCAGGTTCTCTCTCCTTACTGAGGACGTAAAATTCCGAAAATAAGCCCCGGGGCTTATATTTTTCAAAGGCCCTTTTTGAGGGGCTTATTTTTGGAGGGGCTTGTATTCGGAGGGGCGATTTAACGAAGGGTTTTTTGCGTTACGATTTTGGGGGGTTTATATTTGGAGGGGCTTATACATGGAGGGGTTTATTTTCGGAATTTTACGGTAATCGAACCTTAGTTACCAACAGTAAGTGAAAAATCCTTCGCGTAAAACTGAGGTGTACATAAAAGGGCATCAGTCCAATCAATACGGAATGAAAATTTTACTTCCCGCTAAAAGGTAGAAGTAACTTCTCAACCACATGATTTATTTCAAGTGATGTTATAATATTGAAAAACTAAGAAACACACAAGAAGTTCTGAGTATTCCAACGGGATTTGCACCTATGATCTTCCAGGACATCTATGAGAAACTCGTGGAGCGATATGCCATACAACTAGACCGATGTGTGTGTTCAAAATCGTGGCAGACTTTTGCTGCTTTTGATAGATAATTATCATTCACACCTATCACTGAACCTGTAATAGGATGAGCTCCTGACAATTGGCAATCCTAAGAACACAGTTGTATGACCGAGCATGGCAAGAAGAGTCTCTCATACCTCAATGGTAATAAGGGCACCCAACCGGTGGAAGTTCTTCTGTACAATTTGAAGAGGGTTTCAGTCTAAAACGCCTTTTAACAGACTTTTGTATACTATTGAAATAAAGCTTTGGGTTTGACCCCTAACCCTGTTCAGTAAATAGTCTCTTCTCTTAAATGAGCGCTTTAGCTCAGAGAACAGCTAACCTCACCCTCGGGGGGGACTCTGCATATGAAAGGGGTGAGGATGCTAGTCGTCTCGCTTAGGGGTGTAAATTTCGAATTTTGGTCTCACTTAGGGTGTTCTGGGCAAAACGCCATCATATTTAGCCGTAAAGGTCTCGTAACTTAGGGTTGCCTATGAAAAAATATAAAAATATGTATATTGTCTGTGTTTCAACATGGTCTCTTTTAGGGGTCAAAAAAGGCTTGGGCCACGCCCAGATCGGTCTCCTTTAAGGGTTTAATTCAAAATTTTCGACGAGCATCCCCACTCCTTTCATATGCGGAGTCCCCCCGGGAACCTACCCTATTTACAACAGAACTCTAGTCAGATGCGTAAATCAAATGGAAATGAGCTAACAAGTTACACAAAGACGCTGAAACGAATTATAGGCAGGCTCATTTCTAAGAAAACCAGAATGACATACCTGGAGAGAGTTTAGAATTTGCCGACATTCTAAAGATCTCATGACAAGTCCGTTTCATAAACCGGGTTCATAATGCTGTAAGAGGACCATCTCAGAATAAAGCCCAACTTCTAAATTCCAGTGAGCACCCACCCATTCAGTGCTGTCAGTTTTTTAGTTACGTTTGAAAACAGGGCAGGGCAGAGGATTGGAAAACGCCCCATTCAAAACAGGAGAATACAATTTTGTCCATCGCCTGAGTTGTTAAGTCTTATCAGTCACTAATAGGGGTCTTTCGATATATTAAAATTCAGCACGATAGCGAGTCTTAAAGGACACAAACATGTTTATTCATTTTCTTTGTTTGTGTCCTCTAAGACTCGCCATCATGCTGAATTGTTTTAGAACTTTCCGCTCAACACTGTCACCGCTCTAATACAGTAATCAGTGAAACATTGTGGTGGTGAATGATCTAACGCAAATAAAAAAGCTTAAAAACAATACCGTAATTATCGTATTGACGGAAAGCAGGGGCACCCAACGACAGTTTTCTGTAAAATATCTGTTAGGAGAAGCAAATATTGCCTAGAATTTTCTTTTATTTGAGGATAGCTAAAAATTTCTAGATGACCGTTCCATTCATGTACAATTTTCGGTAATAAATTCCCTACGATTTTCTAAAGTAAGTTTAATTTTTCACATTTTACTCCCTAGGTTAGGCTATTTTTCGTAGAAAAAAGGAAACCTAAAATTATTTTCGGATCCTAAAATGTGATGGAGAGAGGAATCAGAAAAATTTTCACTTTCGTAATACGTTAAATTGCATCTAAAATAGTGGGGACAATAATACAGAAGCCCTTGTAATGTCGAAAAGACTCAAGCCCCCCTAGGATGATCGAATAGATATAGAACATATTTCTAGAGATCTATTAAAAAAGCACTCAGCCTAAAAAGTGTTTTCAATGTATTTAGGAGGAAGCCGTCGTTGGGTGCCCCTGGCAAAGAGCACTTAATTCCAGAGAACACTTTTATTTTTTTATTACAATTTAATGGCAAAAGGTTTCAGGTAAGTGATAAATACAAAGGCATTGCCATAAGGACGGTCTGTAAAAGAGTCAAAGACCCCATACAAGACAGACCACCTACTAAAAAATATTCATTTCATAAAAACTAAGATTTAATAGGACAGACAATTAAAAATGTGAAAATGCATATAGAGATATGTACAAAAAAATCAATAAAATAATAATAATACAAAACCTCACACATTTCCAGCTTAAAACTCCCTCACTCCTTCCTTAAAACTAGCAATAGTTGTTGCCTGACGAACAAGCAATGGTAGAGTGTTCCACATGTCCACGATCCTATTGAAAAAACTAAGCATAAATGTATTAGTTCTAGCATAATTCTTTTTAAAAGTACATTAATCTTTTCCCCTTAAAGGATACCGATCAGAATCTGAGAAAAACTGTACATATGTAGATAGATCAATATTTATATAGCCATTCAGGGCTTTATACTGGAATAATACGTCAAATAAAAATCGCCTTTGTTCTTAGGACAACAAATTGAGCTTTTTTCTCCATTGTTTGTAATCATCATGGTCTTCAAAATAAACTTACTATAGTTGCCCTTCGCTGAATTCGCTCCAACTTAGAAATATTTCTAGATGTGTGTGGTGACCACACAACACTGCAATACTCTAGCTGTGATCTGACCAGGGCAAGATACAGAGTTCTCAATGTGGAAACATCTTGAAATCCTTTACAGGTCCCTTAGACCTAGGATCTTGTTGGCCTTATTCGATATTTTATCAATATGAGAGCTCCAAGACAGATTGCAGATTGCATTAGTTTACATTTCTTCACGTTAAACTCCCTAAGGTTTTGTTGACTCCATGCATATAAATTGTCGAGATCTGGGCCGGGTTGTTCGAAAATGGGTTAAGGTAACCCACGGTTAGTGCGAAATTTCAACTCGGATTTGAGAGTTAAAAAAGCAAATTGAGTTTAATTCTCTTTGCCTACAATTTGATGACTGGATACTCTAAAAAGAATAGAGAAAATTATCCGATAGTGTACTTTTGATAAAAAGAAAAAGAAACCTGGGTTAAAATTAAACCCCGGGTTAGGGCTAACCGGCGTTCGAACAACTGGGCCCTGACTGAAATACGGAATAACTAGCTGGACAGTTTATAATCCTGGGCCGAGTTGTTCAAAACTGGATTAAGATAACCCAGGGTTAGTGCGAAATTTGAATTCAGATATGAAAGTTTATGAAGTAATTTCAGTTTTATTCTTTTTGTCAACAAATTGATGATTGGATGCTCTTAAAAAGAAGAGAGAAGATTATCCGAGAAAATGCTTTTGAACAAAAGAAATAGACACCCGGGTTAAATTTAGCCCTGGCTTAAGCGCTAATCGGCCTTCGAACAACTGGGCTCTGGATGTTTTGTAGTCGTCAGCATATAATGACACATAGTTTCCAGGCATTACTACTTCAGGCAAATCACCAATGGGTCCAATAAGGAGCCCTGAGGTACGCCCGATGGAATAGCACACCATGTAGAATTTATTCCTTCTATGACAACTCTCTGTTCTCGGTCGGTGAGATAATCCTTACACTAATTCAAAGCGCACCGGAGATACCAAAATTACACATTTTTGCAGCAGGATATTATGTGCCATACTGTCAAAAGCCTTTGCAAAGTTCAGGAAAACAACGTCCACCTGTTTGCCCTCATCCAAGGCCTTTGACCATTGATGGTGTGACAGAACTAACCGAGTAAAATCATATTGTAACTTAGATATCTATTTGGAATTTCATCACGTTTGTCAAGATCAGTACATTTACAAAGTTTATCAAACCAAAGTAATACTCGTGTTGATGTAAGGCATGTAAGTAATTGAGCTTATTTGAAGCAAGCGTAAATTGAAGGGCAGGCCTTGACGAGAGTAGCAGAAGTCACGTGGAACGAAAGAAGCCCTGACTAATATAGTAGACGTAGGTTCAGAAGGTCTATACAACTTTGACGTCTCCACTATGAGGACGACTAAGTGGTCCTGGCTATCCCTTCTCCTTGTGCTCCACGCTCAGCTCATGCTTCAGCTTCTCCCGTAACGTATCAAAATGGCGCCTGCTTTAAAAAGTACAATTATCACCTGTTCACTTCAGGGTCTCAGACACTACTTCATTGAGATCCTAGGTATATACATTTATGTACAGCCGTGACAGTAGTTGTCAACTTGAACATGTTTCCTCTCAGTTCTTTGTTTCCGTTGCACCTTCGCCATCTTCCAAACTACTCTTATCAAATGCACCTGCGATGCAAATAAAAAGAAACTAATCATGACGGTTCCTTTTCGTATGTTTTCTTTGCACGATGTATTTTAGCCATCGATCAACATGTTTCTGTTGCTCGTTGCGCTAAATGTTTTACCTAAACATCTGGCACAGATTTTTTCAAAGTCAAACAAATAACAAAACCTTTACATTTTGAGGAATCATTTATATGCTAAAAATTCAGTAAAGTCATATTGTATTACTTTCAGCTTAAATGTGGTTCGTATAATATTCGCACCGCATACCTATTGTTCCGACACGGAGAAATAAGTTGTGGGAGGCAACCGCGACTGCCAGGACAATAGGCATGCCGAATAATGAGAGTAAGCGACGTCAACCGCCACCAGGGGAGGTGGGAGGGGCGAAACTTCTAAGTCACTTCCACTGAACCCCGTTGAACTAGCCAAGAAGCGGGCAAAAACTAAGCAATTCTAACCAAGGGCCTCAATGCATCATGCCACGAGAATTTAAAAGAGTTACTTAATTTCCCCGTCCCCGGCCAATTATGTATGCAGTGAGAATATTTTACTTTTTTTCAAATTCCTTCGATTCGTTTCCTTTTTGTATACTGATCAGATTATAGTTTGAAGCAGGAGATTGATATCAAGCCAGCCATACCATCCATTGCCGCCCGAGCAGCCCAAGCAGCCTGTGCAATGGTTGCCCAGAATATCAGCCATCTCCTCTGGCACAAAATCGCAACTACGAAGAGAACTAAAGCAAAACGTATTGTAAAACCCAATCGAATCGAATGAAATACTTTCTTGGGGGCATATTAAATCCTTTGACTTCTCCGCGGAACAAGCATCATAAAAGAGGCGATTGATGACAAAAAACCTCCTTTTAAGAACACACGAAATCGACAAGGGAGTTGCCCTTAGCTCATTTGCCAGAAAAATACCTGTATAAAATAGAAGTTGCAAAATCAAATGCTCCTGCAGCTGCTTGGGCTAGATTAAGTGCCCAGGGAATCTTCCCGTCTGCTTTTAAACTCCCGCCCACTGGTAATTAGTGCGTATACCCTCTGAGCTTTCTCTGGTTCCCAGAGAATGAATCTTTTTAAGACTAAAAATACTAGCAGCGTTTTTTAGCCTGTTCCAGGCTCTCAGATAGTAGGGATGAAGCGGTGAAAGGCGTGCGGAGCGACTCAGTGGCGGAGCCTGGAACAGGCTACATTTTGTCTTTTATCAGGTACACCCTCAAGAAAAACTGTGTTTAACACTTACTTCTCTTCTGTATGATTTATTAATACAGTGAAACCTGTATTAAGCGGCCACCGTATTAAGCGGACACTACAGCATTCCCCAAGGGTGTCCGATTAATACAGGTTTCACTGTAAATTGTTTTCGTATGCTATTTGGAATCTCAAATATCGTTTTTTACATTTTCATTTTAGTTAGTTAGAGAATCGAGCATGCTTTACGAAATATTCCATAAAAATCGGAGACTAATTGAATTCGGCCTTCTCTCCAGTTGCCTCACTTCTATGAAAAGGGTTGGAAAACACAATAAAAAAACTAAGAAAATTCATCATAACTCCCTTAATAATATATTTCAAAATGATGCGTAGTGTCACGAACATCAATTTCACAAATTTTGATTAAGATAACTAAAAAACCTAAAAATGATTTCAAATACAAACCTTTGAATGTCACATTATCTCCAATCAGCATAAAGGGTGCCCACTGCTTGACGTCAGGAAAGCGAGTCTCTCTCATCGACTTCATGGCCTGATGAAGAGATTCACTGGCACTTTCACCACGAACAAGGTGCTGGTAAAAACAATTCATAAACCACATAGTAGCTTCGTCATCTACAGCCCACAGCGCCGCCAGCACGGCGCGTGCACCCGATGCTAGAAATGCTCGAGCGATTCCAACAATTCCCTCAGCTCTGATCTGACCACGTGCACTATGACAGCAGCTAAGGACAACCAGCTCGGCTGTTAGTCGAACTTGTGAAATTTCAGCCATCGTTAATAAGTAGTCTTCTTCGTGTGGAGTTCCGCAGGAGCTTATAGGGGAAAGAGCTATTTCTCCACGTTCGGCATAACCATGAGCAGCGAAGTGAATGAGACTTACTGAATGCATGCTTTCCAGGACTGCCTTCTTAGTTGCATCCTTTCCAAGCAACGGTTGAACACCGAGCAGTCGCCCGATCATCTCTGCTTCCTTTCTCGCCCCAGGCAGTGGCGGTAACTGTCGACTTTTTCCTTGGTAGTATACAATACTAACCTCTGGCTCTCCTACGATCAGTGCACCAGTTTTACTATGGTAGTCTGCTGGACTGAGCTGAATCAACTTAAGAGTCGTCAAGGAAGGGGCAATGCGAATCCTGAAAGTATCCGATAAATACTTTCCATTACCATCCTTTAAAGCAGCAAAAGGAATAGGATACAACAAGTTATCCGGTATAATAATGATTTCTGATTCTTGGAGTAAGTCAGCTACAGGAGCGACTATCATGGTGTAACCAACAGCAAGGGTTAAAGGTTTAGAGTCGTGATTTTCGTCTTCCCCTTCTTCGATAAGACGCAAAGATTCGGAACTGTCACTCTGAGATTGTTCGCATGATAGCGGGGAACTTACACATGAAAATAATGATCGATCTTCGCATTGGTCTTGACGTAAATCAAGAGAGCCACCAAGTGTCTGATTTCCAAACACTTTATCTGCACTTTCTTTGAGTCTCGTTTGTCGAAAAGCTATCATTTTGTTTGGCTTGAGGATCCAAAAGTACATATTATCCCCGAAGCAGGAAACATAAAGACAAGAACTAAGTGCATTTTTGTTCATAATGTTCTCAATACCAATCCATGACTGTGGGTTGGCTGATACCCCTTTTTCCACAGAGTAATTATCTGAAAGTACGTCTGTCAGTGCTCTGGATCGTCCAAGCTCGGCAACGTAAAGAGCTTCATAATAATTGCCTGTAGCAATTAACAACCTACAAAGAAGAAGGTAAGGGGACACATGCTCATCAAAAAAAGAAATTTTGAATTGATCTTTCGCTCTTAAAAAATCATGCATTTCTTCGCACTTCTGAATGCTTTCATACAGATTTCGCAGAAGTTTGGTTATGCTTCCTCCTGCCACTAACTCGTTCAGAGCAATGGTAAGGTGGCTGTTAAACTGCATTTCAATGTCCCCTATTTCGTAACTTATCTCAAGTGCTTTATTAGCAAATTCTTGACTCTTTGCAGTAAGTTGAAATTCTGGACAAAGTTTTGCCAGATTTAAGTATGAAGCTCCAACACCAGCTTTGTCTCCGATTTCTTGTTTGATCACTAGTGCTTTTTGAAGGTATTCTTCAGCCTTGGTATATTGACCAACAGATTGAAACACAGTTCCTAGATTTCCGTAATCTGCTGCTTCTCCTTCTTTGTCACCGATTTCTTTCCTGATCACTAGTGCTTTTTGAAGGTATTCTTCAGCCTTGGTATATTGACCAACAGATTCAAACACAGTTCCTAGATTTCCGTAATCTGCTGCTTCTCCTTCTTTGTCACCGATTTCTTTCCTGATCACTAGTGCTTTTTGAAGGTATTCTTCAGCCTTGGTATATTGACCAACAGATTGAAACACAATTCCTAGATTTCCGTAATCTGATGCTTCTCCTTCTTTGTCACCGATTTCTTTCCTGATCACTAGTGCTTTTTGAAGGTATTCTTCAGCCTTGGTATACTGACCAACAGATTCAAACACAATTCCTAGATTTCCGTAATCTGCTGCTTCTCCTTCTTTGTCACCGATTTCTTTTCTTATCACTAGCGCTTTTTGAAGGTATTCTTCAGCCTTGGTATATTGACCAATAGAAAGAAACACAGTTCCTAGATTTCCGTAATCTGCTGCTTCTCCTTCTTTGTCACCGATTTCTTTCCTGATCACTAATGCTTTTTGAAGGTATTCTTCAGCCTTGGTATATTGACCAACAGATTCAAACACAGTTCCTAGATTTCCGTAAGCTGATGCTTCTCCATTTTTGTCACCGATTTCTTTCTTGATCACTAGTGCTTTTTGAAGGTATTCTTCAGCCTTGGTATATTGACCAACAGATTCAAACACAGTTCCTAGATTTCCGTAAGCAGATGCTTCTCCTCGTTTGTCACCGATTTCTTTCCTGATCACTAATGCTTTTTGAAGGTATTCTTCAGCCTTGGTATATTGACCAACAGATTCAAACACAGTTCCTAGATTTCCGTAATCTGCTGCTTCTCCTCGTTTGTCACCGATTTCTTTCCTGATCACTAGTGCTTTTTGAAGGTATTCTTCAGCCTTGGTATATTGACCAACAGATTCAAACACAGTTCCTAGATTTCCGTAAGCAGATGCTTCTCCTCGTTTGTCACCGATTTCTTTGCTGATCACTAGTGCTTTTCGAAGGTATTCTTCAGCCTTGGTATATTGACCAACAGATTCAAACACAGTTCCTAGATTTCCGTAACATATTCCAACTCTGTGATTATTTCCAGCCTTAATCATGATGCTGAGTGCCTTCTCGTAAAACTGTTTTGCTTCCTCGTATTTGCATGTTTGATAGTAGATGTTCGCTAGTTTAAGTAATGTCATCCCTTCTTCTTCTTTTTGGCCTGTATTGTGTAGTGTCACTAGAAGCTTTTTACCACATTCTGTCGCACGGGTGTGATCGTACACACGAGTATAGCCATCAAGAAGTTTACGGTATACATAGATAAGAAGTGGTGTGGTAAGTTCTTTGATTGTCTCTAGGGCTTTACCGTTAAGGAGCACCAAACATTCGTTACAGATGTCTACTGCTTTTATAATACGTCCAGTGTTGAAAAGGAAAGTTGCAACGTCTACACCAATATGAATGGTCTGTAGAATCTCCAAGATGTTGTCCATGCCGCTTTTTTCTCAACCTTGAGAAAAAATATATTTTAAGAGTAAGAAAGTGGAAACAAGATTCTTCACGTCTTTTTAACTGAACAGTTAAACTTCTTATGCAAGGTAATCAAGCTTTCATGTAAGATTTACTGAGGTAGGTCAGGATTATAAGTGTTGGACTATCATTTCTTTGGCCTATTCTATACTTTTTGAATCTGCAAATGCAGAATATCTAAATAAATAGTTTTACAGAGTAGGAGGAGCATTGCGTGACGACATTAAAAACGGCTGTGTAGCAGACTAGGCCGCTTGGAGATGTGAAATTTCTTTTCTTGTGTTGAAGAATTTTTCACTCGTTCGTGATATTGAGGAGAAATTTCATATCTCCGCGCGGCCATGTAATATCCTCTATTTATTATTCATTCAAAATATTGGCTCCAATCCCCCGGCTAGTTCCTCATAACCCACTGGCGCTCTCCATATTTGGAAGACGCAAGCAATACACCATCAATAGAGAGGAGAAGTCGTTACGTCACGTTGTCATGGTAGCAAAATTTTTGGATGACAACAAACCAAACCAAAACGTCACTTAAAAAATGGATTCGCACTGTTTCAAACTTCATCGATCTTATTTAATTTCATTTAATTTGTCAAATGTTGGCGAAATTTTTTGGGTTAAATCCGAAAGGACCGTATGTAAGTTTAGAAAAAGAAAAACAAAATTTTTGTTTTGTTCTTACCTGCTCCATAAAGTGGGCGCGTGAAATTAGGAAGTTTCATGTCGCGGTCATGCAACAATGGATAAGAAATTTACAAAAAAGCGTGATGCACGTGCAAAGATGTTTTTTGCCATTCTAAACCAATTGTTTTTTGCTGTTCGCCGTCGCCGTTACAAAAACTCCCTACTGTTGTCATCCAGAAATTTTGCTACCATGGTAACGTGACGTCACACTTCTCCTCTCTACTTATATTCCTAGACTTTCACTCAACTAAACAGGGACTGCCATTGGCTGATTCTTGTTCACATGGCCTTGACTAAAATCAAATGTATCCCGATCGTGATATATTTGAGCCGGATTGTACCCAGCTCGGGATTGATTACAGCACGTGATCAAAGCATGGTGGAAAGTGGCGTGACAAAAGGCGGGATTTTCGTGAATGAACAGTGAACGGTCAACAACAGAAACATGAAGCCTCCAGCTAAAAAGCAACGATTTTTAAAGTCATTCCAGAAGAGAAACAGCAGCTAATGGAGGAAAAACTGAGATGCAGATAATATAAGGAAAGTAATTTGTAAATCATTTATTCAGTGGTTTTGAGAATTAAATTTGTGTTCTTATAAGTACCGAGTCGACTGTTTTGATTCGATCCGGTTATTCTTTTGTTCCTGTTGAAATGAAAGTCTAGAAATATAACAAAACACTTAATGTGAGGTCCCTCGGGAAACCAGTTAGTTTTGTTTTCCCTCGAGTCCTGATGTTTCCCGAGACGAACTGTTTCCCTCGGGATCTGACATTATTAAAGTGTATAATATAAAATCGATCAAACTCCTTTCCAGACGCGGCAGCCTAGCTCTTTATTCCTGAGTTAAGTTAAGAAATGCAAGAGCACGCAAAACGTATCCCTGGAGGGATCGGATGTTGTTTACTTTTGAGGAGTATCTTCAAAGAAAAACATATGTTATATCGTGAAACCATGCCGAGAAATAGGCCAAAGTTTTGAAGAAAGTTTTCGAGAAGGTAAGCTTGTTTATAACAAGGTCTAACAAATTAGAAATATTCTGAATGACTAATAAAACAATTATTGAATTCGGCTTTCGTAAGATGAAAAGAATTATGCAGATCTTGGAGGATGTTATCCACCTCGGCCGATAATATCCTCCTCAATCTGCATTATTCTTCACATCCTACTCAGCCTCATTCAATAACTGCTAATTAGCTAAAAGAACACGTTTAATTCACCATAACCAGTTACTGATGACCAAATTTGGAGTGTTTAGCGAGGAAATGACGTAAAAAATGCAGCGTTTTTGCAGGTTAATGCACCGTTAACCGAGGAGACCTGGGGACGAGGTCGAGTTGTTTTGGTTGTGCACTTGAAAAATGGCGGACATTTCACTCTCTTTAAGAGTAAGAACTCGGCGAAAAAATAGCTAAAAACATGGCAAGAACAGCAAGAATACAACTCGAAGGGCGACGTCTGCTATTTGGAGAATATTTGCGGAGCTAAACAACCCTAAACTTGCGCTATCGAAGATGAACTTAACATCGATGGATCGATGGAGGTAAGAATGTTTTAGCCATGTTTTTGAACTAGGAATTATTTTGAATGAATAATAAAACAGTTATTGAATTCGGCTTTCGTATCACATGAAGAATTATGGAGGTCTCGGAGGGTGTTATCCGCCTCGGCTTATGGCCTCGACGGATAACACCCTCCTCGATCTCCATAATTCTTCATAAGATACTCTGCCTCATTCATTAATTGTTAAATAACAGTAACACTAACCATAAATGTAATATCCACCATAAATGTAATAAAAACCCGAACCATACATAAAACAAATTATCAGATTATAAAACATAAATGTACTAACATTTTAACCATAAATGTAGTAAGTCTAGAAAATCGTGTGAATTCGAGTACATTTCTTTATTTATGGCACAAGTGACGTTGATATTGGTTAGAGCACTACACCGGTATCGCAGAGGTGATCTTCTCCACATTTAAACTCTTTAAAGTTCAACACTTGGCTAAGAAATCTGTCAGGATCGATGTTCTTTCAAGTCATAACTATACAATAAAGAAAGTGAGCTCGAAAAACGTCTTTTCTTGGCTGCAGAGTTCGTGTGCAGTGGCCAGCTCTGACAATGAACGCAGAAGTTCTTAGCGACCAAACAATACCTGGGAATCCAATGGAGATTACAGTGGAACATCGATACAACGAAGGGCCAAGGGATTAGTAAAACGTGTTCGCTTTATTAAGGTTCCACTGAGCCGGGTCATCGCCAAAAACTCGCGCGATAAATGTACTGCTTGAAATATAAATGTTGGTAAACCAATTTATAACATTCATATACGTTATGATTTAGTACCGCTCAGGGACTCTACTCGCAGCACTTCACTTAGAATTTGTCTCTAGTAATAACTGAGCAAAAGAAGCCCTCCTTCGAAGTCCTGGTTCGACTGATCCTAGCTCGCAGCCATGCTCGAGATTTCGCTCTGTATTTAGGTATACTATACTCAAGTTTTAATCTGCCACGGAAACAGTCGAATTCTGCGCGATAACTGAAAGCTCTCTGGGAAATATTGCTTGCGTTCTACATTCGCTTTACTTTTCAGAATAGACGAATCTGCCAACTCTTTTACAAACATTTTTCATTTTGTCAGCAATTATTTATGGTTTATACATTCCAGGTTTACTGATTCAGGAAATAACAAATAATCTCTACAAATCGTGTTCCATTTCTACGAAACAACATAGGCCGTACTGGCATATGAAGGTGGCTCGATCCAGTTTTTAAGGGTCAATACCTCCCAAGTTCGAGCTTAAACTACGTCGCCATAAACAAACATTTGAAAAAAATTGCCACCACAGTTGTATTAGATAAAGATGAAAATTTGCCATGATCAGGGTTGCAATGACCTCGGAGTTGTCAAAGCAACGGTATGACGCCATTACCTATTTTACTTGCAGCAATATTTCTCAGCACTGGGAACTGTTCTTATAAAATCGTTCACTTTTTTCTCCAATACGGTCGCCTGGATGTTCTTGAAGTTAAAGCGGAATCTGTAAGAGCGTTATCGAGATATTTTGGGATGAAGTTTTTATCGTTAGAAATACGGTAAAACATGAAAATGATGATGTTTGCCCGTTATTTGTAGCAAACAAGGCGCTTTTGACCATACAATTTCACCTAACAGTGCAGCTGACAGTGGTTTAGAAACGAGTGTGAAAGATCGTGGAGATAGCTCCGGCCGATTGCTAGAAAGAAGGATTTGTTAGTATGTATCGAGGCGCTCTTGTTGGTGGTTTTGTAAGTTCAGTTCGGTCTACTTTAACAAATTAGCGAATAATTTTTAAACCCCTCGATAGATTGTTTTTTGAAAAAAAAAAGATTCTTCTCGTAATTTAAACTGAAGTAGTCAGCCACTTCTTCATTTTTAGACCCATTGTTGATGCTATCTGCCATACAGTGTTCTACGAGCGGAGATGATTCTAGAAAGTTATGTGGCAGTTTATTTTAATCAATTCACGACCGGAAATAGCCCATTCCAGCTAGTGCAGTGTCGAACAATAAAAGAATGCAAATATGTAAATCAACATATGATACCCTTCAACACATCGCGTGTTAGGCAACCACTGTCTCGTGTGAATGTAACTGGCATGTTACGCCGACTTTAGGTTAAAATTTAAAAAACATGAAAAATAATAAAATTACAATAACAATAAAAAATGCACGAAACAAAAAAAAAATAAAAAAATAATAATAGTAAAAAAAACATGAAAACGTCTTTATAAACTGTCTTCGCCCAAATTTTCTCTCGTTGCACAAAAAAAATGGGAAGCTCGAAAATTTGGGGAGGGGGATTGCAGCGCCCCCCCCCCCCCCACCCCCCCCCCCGCCCCGACCCCCCCCCTACCACAACTAAAAAAGAAACCCCCTTCTTCCACCAATTACCCCAGTTTTATCTTTTTTCGCTGAACGACAAAAATTCCTCTTTTTTAACTACTGTAAAGCAACAACCACCTTTTCTATCCCCCAAA